CAGTAAGGTCCAAGCTCACGCAGCTAATTTCTGCTAAGTCTGTGATTAGAATACAGGTTTCCTAGTACAGTTTTCCTTTGACTCCACTCTGCTATGCTTACCATAGCTTTGCAGTAATTAAAAAAAAAAAAATTGTCATAGCCACCAAGAAGTTCTCTCTCTCTCTCTCTCTCTCTCTTTCTCCTCCCTGCCAGCCCCTCTGTCACACATACACACCCCCTCTAGATTTTCATCCTTTCTTAGCAAAAAGTTTTTCCTGTGCTCTAGGATCTCTCTAAGACTAGATGTTGAAGGAAATGTGCCAATCTGGATTGATAGATGGGGTAGATTCGTAAATTCTTCAACCAGGAGTTTCTTATATCAATAGCATCACAGTTGCAATCCCTATGCCTACCGTTTTTTTTTTTTTTACATTTTTACAGTATACACAAATGGCCAATTTCTTATCTGAAGTAATTTGATGCTTTAGTGTTAAAGATATTAAAACAGATGTGAATGAACTTCAAGAACCTCACCTTTTAAGAGGGATTTAAAGCCCTCGTGTGAGGCATGTAGAAAATGTATATTTCAAATCACCATGACCTCTTTTTCACTCAGGACAGAAGTTTAAATGGAAAGTGGAGAGGGAGGAAGAGAGGAAGGAGAAAAAGTTATTTTTGCTTCCTTCTATTTTCAGTAGAACCTGAACATGGCTCAATTCCAATGTTGGCAAAGAATTGTTCTTATACTGAACATTCCACATTTATGGAGGCAAAAGGGAAAGATGAAAAAAAAAAGACTGAAGTGAATGAAAGGGACATACAAAAAAAAAGATTGAGAGAAACACAGATTTTTTTTTTATAAATTTAAGAAGAAAAAAATAAAAGCAATCATTTGTCCCATATTAGGATCTCTAATGGACTAGAAAGATAAATGGATTTATGGTCATAGGACTTAGGGCCTGAAGTCAGGAAGACCTGAGTTCAAATTTGGCCTCAGATACTTACTAGTTGTGTTACCCTGGACAAGTCACTTAACCCCGTTTACTTTAGTTTCCTCATCTGTAAAATGTGCTGGAGAAGAAAATGACAAACCATTTCATTATCTTTGCCAAGAAAACCCCAAATGGAGTCATGAAGAGTCAGACACAATGGAAACAACTGAACAAGAACAATAATCTATAAATAATAATAGTAACATTTTTATATAACACTCTAAGGTTCACAAAGTACTTTGCAAATAGTATCTCATTTTATGTTCATGACATCACTAGGAGTTAGATATCTGTAGTATCTCCATTTTATAGATGAGTAAACTGAGTCAGACAAAAGTTAAGGGAATAGCCCAGAGTCACACAACTAGTAAGTTTTGGAGGCCAAGTATGAAATCAGATCTTCTTGACTCCAGCACATTACCCATTGCCTCATCTATCTCTGTCTCATAGATTAGATAGTCCTCTATCTCATCTCATGGTAAGGAATACATGAGATAAACTTTGTAAAGTGCTTTTTAAAAACTCTTTGTTGACATCATGCATGTACCCTGGTTATTTCCACCTTGTCTCCCCCAACAGCATGTGAGCTCCTTAAAGGTGGTGACTATTGCATTCTTTATATCCCAGTTTCTAGCATGTCTGTCATGTGTTGTAAGTGCTTAAGTACTTGTCGACTGACTCTAAAGAACCATGTACATATCAGTCATTTTTCTCATCATTACTGAGATACAGAGCCACCAGAGTTAAAGATTTTTTGACTTTGTGAAAACAGTATGTCCATCTTACTGCTTTCTTAGATTTCTATTATCTTATACCAGCTCATCCATAATCTGGCCCCTTCTGTGGAAACCACCTTCATTAGGCCAGCCTTAGAAAAGTCTGTCTCATTGGGTGTAATTTGCTTAGCTTCCTTTGCAAAGCTGTTTAGTCTTTCATGCTGTCCGTGTATGTGAACAACCCAGCAAACTGTCATGTCTAAAAGTATATTTGTAGTTTACCGGGATACAAAGCCATTCTTTTAGAAAAGACTATTGACTTTCTTTAAGAAATCATTACCTTCTAAACAGCTACTACAATGCACTGAAGGAGAGGGAAAAAATACATCACATATAATGAGATAGCAACATGTGTTTGGAATTAGTTGACAGACACAATCTTGACCTCACTTTGAGGTCTAACATTAAAAACTTGCTAAGACTGGACTGGAAATGATGGCAGACTAAGGAAAAAAAGAGCAAAGACATGTTATTTTCCTATCTGGTGCTTCTGATGTGGGGCATGATCTGGGGTTCATTGCTTTGCAAACTGTACCATTATTGCTAATCACAAGTTTGGAAAATGTATTTCATTTTCCATTTTATAAACTAATTTGTGTGCCTGAAGACACAGGGAAGAGTGTCTGTAACTTATTTACATTCTATCCAAAAATAACTTAGTTGTGAACTCCTGGAAATGCTGTGAGCAGTCTCAAACTTGCAGTGGGTCACATGTAAATTAGAAAATAATACCCTTAGAATTAATGAGGTACTTTGGAAGATTATCTGGCAGCTGATGTCAGTACTCAAAATGAGAGCAACATTGTGGCTAACCCCTAAAAGACCAGATAGAAGGGGAAGTTTGCTATCTCTCCCCTCAAGACACACATACACACCAGCATTCACATGTCTTGGGGTTGTTAAAATCCTTCAATGAATTAACAACTTCTATTCCTTTATTTATCATGCATGTGAGACAGTATCTCTCTATAAATTCTGTAAAAATCATTTTTAAAGCCCCCACAAAAAAAGGTTTTTCCTTTTTGCATTAATTTGGCAAAATGCCCTACAGTATAGCTGAGTCTTGGCCATGAGCCTAAATATAAAGGACATGAAGATTGAGGAATGCCTAGGTTTAATGTCAGTGAGGCCTAACCTACTTTGATGCTGCCTACCTACCCCCCTCAAAAAAAAGTAAGGCCCAATTACCTCTTCCCCTACCATACCCTAGAGCTATTATTTCCCCAAAGTACTATGTAGTTTGGAACTTTCACTTTTTATCCATTCTCCCTCCACATAACATAAAAAAAGTTTATGTTTTACTGATGATTCCCAGCTAGGTCCAATAAACTAACTCAACCAAAGGTTTTTAATGGAAAAAAACCTTGGGGACTTAGAGCCATTTATGCAACAGTTTGAATGAGACCTATCAATGTTAGTTCTAGGGATTTTACCATAAAGGTGCACATATCCATGTCATCTCTGATTTGATGTATTGAGAGCTATGATTTGAGATTTTTGAGACTGTGATTGGTTGATGAGGCAAAAGAGGGAGAAAAAGGAATGGGGAAAGAATCTCACTCCTTCCATGGTTGACTTTGGGCCTGTTCTCCATGGATATTGCTAGATTTCTGAGCACCTTCCCTTGCCCAAGTGATGAAGAACTCATATAGATGATAAAGGTGTCAACACTTATTCAAAGGCTGAATACATCATTTAAATACTAACTCTCCTCAACCATTCTTCAGATTCTTAATCATGCTATAGTTACAGTGAACATGTTACCATTCACTCAGGACCTTTGTTTAGTATTTTATGTTTTGGAGTGTCTTTCATCTATGAGATGAGCCAGTAGACAATTTTCCTGCACTGTAACACACCTTAGCACATTTAAATATCATCTACATCAGGTGTTTTTGTTTTTTGGGTTTTTTTTTTTGCATCATGTCCCCTTGGTTAATCCTTTGGACTCCTTTTCAGATTTTTTTGTTGTCTGTATTCATAATTGGAGGAAGTACTAAATTATAGTTAGAAAATCTGTATAAGTTCAGAGATACCTTGAAATCTACCCCCTAACTCTTTTGGGGTTTATAGACCATGAGTTAAGAAATCTTGGATCTAGTACAGTGTCCTTATTTTGCAGATCAGGAAACAGACATAAACAAATAAAATGATTCACCCTAGGTCATAGAGGCAGAAAATATCAAAACTCATCCTCAGTAATATACCAACTTTTTAAGATGTGCCTTCCTTTCCTTAAACAAAACAAGTGAATTAATTGAGAATTTGTTATCATAAATGAGTCAACAGAGATGTGTTGAGGCAGTGTGATAGTTTGTTGTTCCTTCAACCATAACCATGAGGCAACTATCTATCAGGTCATTGTATAAAAGCAAATGTAGGTATCAGTATTGCACACCACTCCATGATAATTTGTCTTCTTAAACTCAGACAGTTCTGGAGGTAGGAGGGGTAGATAAACAGTAAGTCACAAATTCCTATCAAAATGACATTTTCAAATTGTACTACTACAACTTTTTTTTCTCCTTAGAAGGTTAGTCATTCTTTTAAATTTGCTTAACATCTTTACCTTTTAGTTTACAAATATTTTAGGTCATTCAGTAAGCTGATCACATGTGCATCCTTCCTTTTCTTGCCATTCACCTTGAAGAAGAAAAAGAATGTTGCTCAATATTTGCTTAAAGGCTCCTTAATGTTCTTCCTCAACCAAAATCAATCCATTATATATTAATGCAGTAATTCTTTTTGAATGCAATGTTCTCTGGAGTTGTATATTCCCTATTAAATTATTATGAATTCAATATAATCAGTTCTGTTCTCCAACAGGACCTTTCTTCCTCTATATGGGATCTATAAGATATGTCTAAACCTTATTTCCTGTAAGAAATCCAATAAATTAAGACATGCCTGTCAAATAGATGATCGGCTTTTAGAGATAGCTATAAAAAAAAAAACCTCTTTCTTTTTTCTGCTGCCAAAATGAGCTATACACTATTTGATGTTCCAACCTTACCATGTATTTGGTTTTTGTTTATGTGAGAAAATCCTGCAGTTTTTCATTTCGAACTATAAAATAAAATGACATTTGCTTCTGTGGGTTTGTTGCCCAAATCAACAATCATCTAAATAGATTGTATGTTTGACTGAGCCCCGACACTAATGTGAACTACCTTCTTGTTGAACTGCAGTTTTCATTCCATTGTCGATAGTCCCTGTTTGTGTGTGATTTTTTTTTCTTTTGGTTTTTGCAGTGATGAAGCACCAGGAAGCCAGCTGGTTACAGATAAGTTTCACATTGATTGGGATTCAGTACTTGTCGATTCTGACAATGTCATTGTGGCCCGATTTGATGGCAGAGGTAGTGGGTTTCAGGGGCTGAAGATTTTGCAAGAGGTTCACCGCAGCCTAGGCTCTGTAGAAGTGAAGGACCAAATAACAGCTGTGAAGTAAGTATCTGCATGTTCTCCTTCTGTTTCTCCACGATAACAGAATTAATATACATAGTACTAATGAACTCCTCCATTCTGCTGTCATCTTGTTCAAATGTTGATGAACCCAATTTTTCTATACTTGGTGATTAGTTAAAAGAATCTTAGTATAATTTCTAGCATTTTATGTAAATAATCCCATCGGCCTATTGGGGAATGGAAGGGACTGAATCTTGTCTCATCACTTGAAATAGACTCTTTTTTGTAAATATTAACTTTGCCATAGGGATCTTATTATGTACAAAGTTCCACTTATGTTTTCAGTACTGAATTATCCAGGGAAATTATATACATATTTCAAATTCAATGCTGTCTCTGTCATTCCTATGTGCTATCCTGTGCTGTATAAATATGGCCTAATAAAGCAAAGTGAAAAAAAAAAAGTCAACTAGTTCACTAGCCCAGGTGGAGGCAAAGATTTATGTGAAGAATAGTGGAAGAAAAAATTCCAAATTTAAGCTGGAGCCAGACTATGCAAAGCCATTAGAGGCCAATTATGTTCTAAGAGCGATTCAGACTGTTTTCCATTACTACAAAAACTGAGTCCCATTAATTAACCCAGTGAGAGTTTTTGTATAGGACTATAGTGCTGAGTAATAGACTTGAGATTTTTGACTTACCAAGATGTATTTTTTTTCTTTTCCTTTCTAGGTCTTTACTGAAGCAGCCATACGTTGACTCCAAAAGACTAAGCATATTTGGAAAGGTAAATGGCAAGAATATTAAATGAATGAATATATCTATATTTACATATATACATATATATATATACAGAAATAAATATATATTTTCTACAGCCTATACTTTTATAATTTTCTATTCATTAACCATTTAACAGTGGGCATATATTATATCATTTATGGATAAACAAGTATCTACTAGAAATACATATATATACATATATATGTATATTTGAAAAGCCTTTTTACCTACTCAAAAGTATTTTACATATTCCCCATTAATTATAGTTTTGAAACTATAAAAGTAATCCACATGTGTATGTATATACACATGTGTATGTATACACATATACACATATACAGATACATATACATATATGAGTGAGTGTGTGTGTGTGTGTGTGTGTGTGTGTGTGTGTGTATTTTTAATTCATTGTTCATCTACTGCCATTTAGGTACTAAAGGGGAACAGAGATAAAAGGAAAAAAAGATATAGGCCACTTCTTCAAAGAACTTATTTTCTGGTAGGGGATATAAAACATTAAAGGGGGGGACAGCTAGGTGGTGCAGTGGATAGAGCTCTGACCTTGGAGTCAGGAGGACCTGAGTTCAAATCCAGCCTCAGACACTTGACACTTATTAGCTGTGTGATCTTGGGCAAGTCACTTAACCCTGATTGCCTCACTGAAAAGAAAAATTAAATTAAATTAAACCTTTACGACATAAAACATTATATAGTAAGTAGGAAATGATTGGTATGACAGTAAACATTGTAGGAATTCATCAACAGCAAAAGATCTTTGCACTATGGTGGTTTACAAAGGTTCTAAGGAGGACATAAGACAGTGTAAGGCTAGATGTGTGAACCATATGGAAAGGCACAGAATTTGTACTGCTTCAGGTGTGTTCAGAAGATAATGAATGGACAAATCTCAGTGGAGTAAAGTTTCTATGGAAAGGACTAATACAGAGATAAGATTATAAAAGTAACATGGGGATAGACAATATAAAACCTTTAATGAAAGAATGAATTTGGAATTATTTCTTGTAAACAATGAGTTATGAAGTATATTTGAATAGAGTAGTATGAACAGTGTTTTAGGAGAACAGGTCATAAAATATGAAATAAACTATATCTAGAATAAAAATGGAAAGTCATGCTATATTTAACATTTACTTAGGAAATAGCTATCTGTATTGTCAGATCATTTAGTTGACTGAGCAAAGACTAAGAAAGGAAGTATGAAATATAGGAAAGAATTATTTTGAAGTCAAAGAACCAGAGTTTAAACCTGATTCTCTCGCTTATATTACTATATGTAACTTTGGACAAGTCACTTAACCTCTTTAGGCCTGATTTCACCCGTAAAATGAGGAGTTGGTCCTTCAGTGCTCTAAATCCATGATTCAATTATATATTAAACACCAAATTAGAAAAGGAGATAAATATAAAAACATTGCACTGTGTGTGCTTCTAACAACCTCAACTCAGACAGTTTAAACATACAGCTATACACTCAACAAGGGAAAATCAACTAAAAGAAAAACAATGACTGCCACTATTACCATTTTTAGAGAATTGTAAATGATGCAAACCAGTCACCACAACAAAGAGGCCTAAAGAGCTCAGAAATTATCTTAGATAACAAATGTTTTTCTATATAAACAAAAAAAAAATATGACAACCAAAGCCAGTACTAGTTTAGAGTACAAATTCCCTTCCAAAACTTTCCAGAGGTCTATATTGTTGTTGTTGTTCAGTCATTCAGTTATGTGTGATCTCCATGGACCACAGTATATCAGGGTCTTCCAATCTGAGGGCCTCATTTTCTGATGTCATATCTTTTAGCATTTTTAAACTGTCCATGGGGTTTTCTTGGCAAACACATTAGAGTGATTTTGCATTTCTTTATCCAGTGGATCACCTTTTGTTAGAACCCTCCACTATTACCTGTCCATCTTGGGTAATCATATTTAATTCTTTAGTGGAGTTGGGAACTCATCAAAGTGGGCAATTCTCACCATAGTAGAAATTTCTTACCCATTCACTTCTAATTTATGACCAAATTCATTATATAGTGAAAAAGCAATAGAAAAGAAAATTAGACTGAGGAAAAAAAAAAAAACAAAATTAACATGACATGAGACACAAATAATACTGAAACCATTTATAGTTTGAACCTTTTATAGAGGGACAGTGGACCCCAAATAAAACGAATTGTCTAATAATTTTATAGTCATCTATTCTCATTGACAATGGTCATGAAACTACTACATTTGTACTATACTACCTTAGTACCCATTTTCCTATGTGAGGAAAATTAGTGGCAACAAGAAGAATTAGTAGGAAAAATTGATTGGCTATGAGAAAAAATAAATCTGTATTGAAGGTAACACAATTTTAAAGGTACCTAAGGATTGATTCTTAATTATTTGAAGAGAGGATGATTCAAAAATAATGGAAAATATGACATGTGTGTGTTAGCAAAAAAAGAAAAAAATTAAAGGAAAAAAAGAAGAAAATAATAGGAGCTATTCACTGATTTGCTAGAATACTGCTTGACATGGTGGCCTTCAAAAGAATTCAAGTGTGAATGATAAGGAGAGGTGTGTGTGTGTGTGTGTGTGTGTGTGTGTGTGTGTGCGTGCATGTAAATAAGAAAGACAGTTAATAGACCAGGTTCTGGGGAGATGATTGAGTTTAGCTTTATCTATACTGAGTTAGAAATGACTGTATGACATAAATGGAAATATCCATCAGCCAGTTAAAGAGGTGGACCTAGAGTTTAGGAGAAAGGTTAGCACTAGGAATATAAAGATGTAGAGTTGGAAATGAATCAAGCAGTAGTAAAGTCATGACAGTGAATAAGATAACTGGGAATGAGAATGTAGACATATTGAAAGAAAAGGGCAGAAGAAGACCAAGGAAATAATATTTTGCAGACAGGTAGTGGAATAGTGGATTAAAAGAAGAAAATAATTCAGTAAAAGAAACATTTATAGTAACTTACATGCATAAATACCTTAAAGTTTATAAAATACTTTCCAAATAACTCTTTGAGGTAGATAGGATAACAAGTATTTTTAACCACATTTTAAAAATAAGGAAATAAAGGATCTGAGAGGTTAAGAATCATTGACCGAGTATCTGTTCTATTGTTCTCACCTAGGTCTCCTGACTCCAAGTTCAACATTTTTTTTTTGTTTTTTTTTTACTACACTATGTTATTTTAGAGAGAGGAGGCAAATGAGGATAATAGAGTTCCAGGAAAGTTAGTGAAGGGACTGATCAAATGGTATCAGAAACTATAGAAGGGGCAAGGAATACTGAAGCCACAAAAGATACCACTGAATTTATTGATTAGGTATTTGATACTTATAAGAGGGCGAGAGAAAAAAATAAAATGTTTCCTTTATTTTTTCTTCTTAATTAGTTTGTCATGAAAATCACAGAACAGTTAAGATATTTCACTTTTATTAAGTTGAAACTAATTAGGGAAGGAGGGAGTAGAAGTATTGTGTTTCATCTGGTTATAAGTTTCTGAATAGTAATTTGATCAGATTTGAAACACCATTTTTAGTTAAGAAGTATTTTTAAGCACTTATTATATAGCCCTCAATTTGCTAGACATGATACACAAAGACAAAAATGAAAACTTCCCTACCCTCAAAGAGCTCACATTCTATTGGTAGAAAATATTATATACATAAATGAATACTAAATAAAGATGGAGTAATGGGGGACAGGGGAAGGAACAGTACTAAAGCTGATAGAATCAGGAAAGGCCTCTTATAGAAAGTGGCAGTTAAGGTAAGCTTTAAGGAACTCAAGAATTCCAGGGAACATTTAAGTCATTTTAAGAACCACATATTGAATATTGTCTGTATACTTTGCAATAATATTAATAGTATAATATTTTTATAATTTACTAATAGTAAATTTTCAGTAAATAATTTTGATAGCTATGAGCTCCTTGCAAGAAGAGAATGTTTTAATTGTTTTGTTTTGTTGTTTCTTTTATTGCTTTTGTTGTATTCACAGTCTTTACTTAGCACAGTGCCTGACATTTCAGAGATGCTTAATAAAGTCTTGCTGACTGGACTCTCCTCACCAGGTGCCCCTGAGAGAGTTTCAATCAAACAGCCACTACAGAACCTAACATAAGGCTGAATAAATGTCAGGTTAAAATTAAAATTCACAGTTTTAGAGCTTTATATGGGATTTTAGAGATTATAAAGTACTTTTCTCAAAACAGTGCTATCAAGTAGTTAGTACAAGTAGTAGTGTATTTATTTGAAAGATGAGAAATTGAATCTCATAAAGGTGGAATGACTTAATAGCATATGTCAAAAAGGAATTCATACCAGGTTACTTGTGTAATTAGGTTCTCTCTCCATTAAAGACATTGTGTTGAATTGAGTGAGTAGAGTATATTATGAGTTGATGTCTTCAGTCTTGTTTATAGCAAGGTGATATGCAAAGGAACCACTCGATCCAAACTTTCACAGGCTTGACAATTCATTGATAAAATAATTGAAAAGTTTATGAAGGTGAAGTAATCATTATGATCATTTCTAGTGTGGCTTAGCAGGAAAATTAAAGTCTCTAAAAAGCTAATTCGCAAGGACAATGATGTGAATGTTGGGCCAGTTCTTACAGCTGAGCAAACTGTTTTCATAAAGAAATCCTCCGGCTAGCTATCTCGGCAACAATTTATCAAATCTTTCCATCAATTCAATCCAATCAGAGACAAACAGCAAAACTTCTGCATAGTCAAAATAGTTTCACTCTATTTGCTTATTTCAATCACCTTATAAACTTAACTAAGATCATATATTCATAGTCACACATCACTGACACATGCATAAGAATATAGTGTATTATTATATGTTGTCTGTTGTCTTTGAAGCCTTGAAATCTCTCCTGCAACAAGGTGTCTCCTTCACTTATGTTAAGATCACCAAAGATCACTTGAGAGAGGCCATCAGAGATAATCATGTTTACTGATATTGATATCAAGTAAGGTATGAAAAAATTCCACTTAATACAATTTAACAAGGACTTATTTTGACCCTCCTCTGTGTAAGGGCCTGCTAGATGCTGGTGATACAAAGACAAAAGACAACAGTACATCCTATCTAGGAGCTAACATTCTTCTGAGAGCTGCAATATCTATTAAAATAAGTGAATACTTGATAGTTTGAGAATCAAGAGAACACAAATACCTGGGGAATTACAAAAGATGTATGGTAGGAGGTAGCCCATGAGCCAAACTTTGAAAAGGATGACTGTTTGAAAATACTGGTTAACACTGTCACAGAGACCATGCTATACTGAATCCAAATGGAAGAGATATTCCCTATATATTGTAAAGCTCTGTAGTTGTTCCAACTTAAGGATTGAATGAACAAAAGTGAAATAGCCCTTGACCTCAAGTGTTTTAAATTCTAAGGGAGATAAAATGTTTGGATGAGTAAATGTTAAGTAATGAAAATTTAATTTCAAGAGGAAGGTTACTCAAAACTGGTGGCAGTGCGTGGTGGGGAAAGAAGTCAAAAAAGGCTTTTTCATGTAAAAGACAGTACCTCGGTTTTGATTTAGAAGAAGCTAGAGATTCTTTGAGGTGGAAGCAAGGAGTATGTATCCACATGCAAATCCATAAATAAGTAAATATACTTTTTCTGGACTAATATGTTTATTAAACATGTTTACTAATAATTTTCAAGTCTATATAAATGGTGTAGTTAATTAAAATTAATTTTAAAATGGCATAGAACTCATAGTAGCTTTGTCACATTTTCCCCCAAATTGAAGTCTACTAACAGAACAATTACTTATATCAAAAGGGTCTATGATTTTTTTTTTTAATGTTCAGAAGAGAGTCTTATTCATTGATCTCCAGTAAGACTATCAGTACTTTGAGTATTTCTTCTATGAAGGATTCATTGTGGGGAAAGTAGGGAATAGACAAGTGACTTTCATGATGATAGGTGTGGAGGAGTTGTAATATGCACCACTGGAGGGAATATTTTCACCAATGAAATCATTAGCGCATCAAAGTATTATGAACAAAAGTAATCAAATCAGCTGTGCATGCATAGTTGTTGTAATTGTCCAAATGGCCAGTACTGCTTTATCACAACAACAGACACAGATTTTATTGAAAATTTAAATTTGTACTTTTGAAACTAGAGTTTGGCTGCTTATTCTAGTCAATTTCCCAAGTCTAGTTCCCAAGAGCTCTTATTTTGTATAGTCATACAGTCTAATCAATTGAGGAAAATAAAATCAACCATGGGAAAGACATACATTTTAGAGCGTTTTTGTTTTCAGTCCTGTCTTTATTACCTCATTTTAAAAAGAGATTTTTTTTTTTGCCAAGGTGAAAGTAAATAAAGGCAGTATTTTGAAGTCCAAATATTTGTACTTGTTTTACTGTAACTAAGAAACTACAGTGAAAATTCCAATTCAGTAACTTTAATATCTATAAATGCCAATATACTCTATTCAACAAAATTATGTGTATCCACATTTTAGAAAATCCAAAAGTGAAATATGAGATGCAAAGCAATAACACAGATTTTTTAAAAAACAAACTTGCCAAAATTCATATTTAAATCAAATTTGCATTTTTTATCAAAAGTTTTGCCTTATTTGACTAGCTAAAACCAGATTATGGTGAATAATGAATCCCCTGAAATGTTGCAGTGAGGATGCATGGTATTGTTTAGAGCCCCAGAAGAGTCAGAATGACTTTCAGAGACAGCTTATGTGTTACATGAGGAGGGAAGCCTTACCACTTAGTCTTCACAGTTCCTTCTTTTCTACTCCAGATTGCCTTAACCTAATTTGTCAGTCATCAGATGAGTCTCTGAAAACCTTTTGACTGCTTCCTAAAATCAAAGTCAACCCCCAAAGCAGAAAGAAATTTGCCACCCCTGCTGAAATATATAGAGACATATTTAATAAAATAGACTACATAGCTTACTGACTAAAAGTCTACCACCACATAGACGCTTTTAAAAACTAGTTAGAAGATATTCAAGGTATAACATAGCAATTTCAGAGAACCTTTTTTAATATAATATAAATATTGCTCTGTCCAAAATGGTTCGGTGAACTCTTGCTTGGAAAGAGAGGATATAAGGTAGGGGATGGACTATATGACTTCTCAATGTCATTTCCAGTTCTGGAATTCTCTGAGTCATTTATAAAATCACTTAAAAATGATAAATGCAATTAAAATATGAAACATATTGTTTGGTTTTCATAGGGATATGGTGGATATATTGCAGCAATGATCTTGAAATCTGATGAAAGATTTTTTAAATGTGGATCTGTGGTTGCACCAATTACAGACATGAAATTGTATGGTAAGTGTCTCCTACAGTATTTTCTCATTGGAAATATTAAGTTTAATAAAATCCTCATGAAATATAGCTCAATTGAGTTCCACAATTATGTATTATGAGATCCTGTTTTCAGCTGCTTATTGTTTCTCTGATTTAACCAAATTCACCAAAGCATAAAAATAAAAAGTAAACTCTGGGTTGAAGATAACGAGATAAAGTAGATCCTAATTCATTCTCTCATTCTTGTCTCCCTTTCTGTAGCTTCAGCTTTTGCTGAAAGGTACCTAGGCTTACCATCTAAGGAAGAAAGTACTTACCAAGTAAGTTATTTGAAAACAGGGAGAGAAAATCATAGGTTTTATAATGAAAATTCAGTCATTTTCATACATACATACATATGTATGTATGTATGTATTTTTTTCCTTGCAGGCATCCAGTGTCCTACACAATATTCACAGCTTAAAAGAAGAAAATTTGTTAATAATTCATGGGACAGCTGACAGTAAGTATTGCATTGGCCACTGCTGTTTTATGGGTACAAACTTCATACAAGTAGGTGTATCTGTGGGAATGATTGAAGGGACCTTAGGAAATGTTCAGAAAAGGAGGTCAAGGACCAAGGTCATGGCAGTAGCAAGAGCAGGTAGATGAAGGAGAGAGGAAAAAAGAATAGAGGGGGAAAAAAGAGAGAGAGAAGGAAAGGAGGGGAGATAGAGCAAGAAAAGCAGAGAGAAAAGATAGAGAATTGGTCCTGAACTGAATTAAAATAACTTCAACATTTCAAAACATTTCTCATCTGGAATCTCAGCATGGAATAAGTAGAAATTCAATTCAAAATAGAAATGTGAGAACTTGAAAAGGCTTGAGTCATGCTATTCAAGATTTAGAGTAGGGACACATTGGTCCAACCTAGGCTTTGCCCCTTACTACTTTTGAAACATTCTTTCAAAGTCACTTAACCTCTCTGGGCCTCATTAAGGTCATCTGCAAAATGGCCTTCACAGTCCCTTCCAGCTTGTGAATCTATGATCCCATGAGCCTAACCATCATGTTATAGATAAAGAATATTGTATTCAAAAAGGAGCAAGATTACACAATTAAGTATTATCAAGGATACAACCACAATTCAATCTTCCTGACTTTTAGCCCAGTGTTCTTTCCCTTATGTACCAATTCAAATTAATTTATCTATTTCCTACATGAGGCAGACTAGTAAAGTGGAAAGCGGACTATATTTGGTGCTTGTGAACCTGGATTCATATCCTGGCTCAGACACTCCCCCTCAAACAAATCACTTGACCTTTTTGTATCTGAGTTTCTGCATTGCTAAAATGAATGGAATGGACTAAATAACCCTGAAAGTCCTTTCTGCTTCTAAACTATGATCCTACAATATTAATCAGAAATTGCTTAAAAATGTCCCCTGCATAAATGAATATGTATATATGTATATCCATCTCTCGCTATATATATTACATATGATATGCATCACATATGTAATATATATATATATTATATATATATATTATATATATATATTATATATATATATATATATATTGAGAGAGACAGAGATACACGCACCCAGAGGGAAAGAGAAAGAGTTAAGCATACCCACAATGTGATTCAGTGTGATTAATTACCTCACAGAATTATAGAGGTGTCAAGGAGCTTAAGATGTTAATATGGTTGCATTTTCTACTCCTCCATGAGCAGAATGTTAGCTACTTGAGGGAAAGAACTATTGTTATTTTAAATCTCTGGCACCTAGTAGAATGTTTCACAGATAGCAGTCACTTAATAAATGCTTGCTGGATTGAACTATATATAGCATATTACATAATTATTAAATAATATTTGAAATAAGGATAATCCTAATTTTAATGGTGTTTTATGTTTTTCAAAGCATTCGTCTTTGCTGTACTAAATATTGATCACTGTAGGGTTAATAAGGCAAGTTTATTAACATCATTTTGCAGGTGAGAGAACTGGAGTCGAAAGAGGTAAAATTACTTGCACTAGTAGCTGTTTAGTAAAAGAGAAACCAAGAATCCCTCTTTCTCTCTGTAGCATTCTGCATCTGACCTCAGTATTTCATCCCCAATGTTTAGGTAAAAGGAGAAACTGAAGACAGAAAGGGCAAAATATAGGAATAATCAGGATAATTCCTACTAAATATTTAGTCCCTAAATAATAGGAAGTTTACTGTACATTCTTAACATGGGGGATTCTTTTTAATTTAAAATGATAATTCAGGAGGCCATTATCTAAATGAGACTGAGCTCCAGTAATCCTATGGAAGTAATAGGAGACTGGATATGCTTTGTTAATACTGAGACAAACATTTCCTGTGTTAAATATTTTAGTGTGGTATTAAAATGTTATGAATAATTGTAAATGATAAATGAAATGAAAAATCAAACCAAGTATGCCAGGCACTGACTGCAGAGGCATTACTATAGCAGTTGTTTTCTTTTATAAGTCACAGCTCAAAGATTACTCCCCTAGACATCTCATGAAAATCCAAGTATCATACATTTTAAATGTGGTAAATATGGACATGTAAGAGCCACATTCACATAACAGAGGATCCCTAATGACATGTGTCCATGCCTAGGAAACTACGTTGTCCCTAATCCATATATATATATTTTTTTTCTCCTACAGCAAAAGTCCATTTCCAGCATTCTGCAGAATTAATCAAGCACTTAATAAAAGCTGGAGTAAATTATACTATGCAGGTGAGATAAAGCTACAGATAAGTGCAATTTCCTAATTGAGATCTCATTGAATTATTTCCTAACTATAATATTTACCTCTTTAAGGATGTTTGGATATTTCTTTGATCACTACTGCACTTTTATAGTTTCTCCTGGTTTGATAAGCCCTTTAAATGTATAAGGATCATTTGGACCCTCCAAGTCCATTAAAAGTCCAGTTATCACATAAGCTCCATGACTCCTTTTAGTCCTTTGTACGTACCCAAACCTGCATCCCAATGAATGGATTTCTTTTCTATCAAATAATATTTTTCATGTAACATAATAATACAATTTAGGGAGCTGTCAAAGGAGGAGCCATCTTAGGCTATAATGGATCAGGAATTTTGATACTTTTATATTTGAAGGATCAGTGATTTTCAGTGTTTGGTGCTTTTTCTTTTTCCTGTCATCCTTTTCTCACCAGCCCAAAGTCAAAAATTTGGGGCAAAGTTGGAAGGGAGAGGGCAATGGCATAATGTAGTTTAAGAGGGAGCATCCTGGTACTGTTTAAAAAGAAAAAAAGAAAACCTGGCTCTAGAATCAATGGTCTTGAATCTGAATCCTGCCTGTGACAGTTATTATCTATGTCACCTCAGGCTGAACATTGGTTTCCACATTTGTAAAATGAGGGAATTGGACTAGATGGTCTCTGAGGTCCTTTCCAGCTCTAAGTCTATGATTTTATGAATTATTTTCATTTAACTCTTCACTATTGCCTATTGCTAAAGTCTTAAAAAATAAGAAAGACAAACAAACAAACAAAAATGACCAAATCTTTTTGACACTTCCAGTGTTGATCATTCTGCACCCTAGTGGTTCAGTCTAGTGAAGCTTGCTTTGAGGGAATGTCATTCTTTCAAATAATAGCTCACGTTTTTAGAGGACATTAAGGTTCACATAGTACTTCTCCTCTTAATAACCATGTAAGGTACACAGTATAGTCATCACTATTCCCATTTGATAGATGAATAAATAAGTTCAAGAGAGGGGAATGTACTTGTCCTACTCTCATGGGACACAAACGTCAGAGGTGGAACCTGAATCTAAATCTTCTGATACAAAATCCAGTGTTCTCTCCATTATGTCATTCTATCCTATTGCCTCTCAATGGGACAGAATTTTCCATGGCTACAATCCAACAGATGTGTAAAAATTTGGAAAGTAGGGGGGAAAAGTAGAGACTTAGCTATCTTAGCCTGCCATTTTTCTTTTCTTTTCCATTTTCTAGGTCTATCCAGATGAAGGCCATAACATTGTATCTGAGAAGAGCAAATATCACCTTTACAGCACAATCCTCAGATTCTTCAGTGATTGTTTAAAGGAAGAAGTGCCAGTGTTACCACAGGAACCTGAAGAAGATGAATAGAAGGAACCTTATTTATACAGAACTGAAGGAGATTTTGAGGTTCAGTGAAACTGAAACATGACTGTAATATTGCAGATTCTGCAGAGGTTCAAGGGCAGCTAAAGGACAGGACACTGGAACAGCACACTCAAGAGGCGATGAGCTAATAAACTGGAATTTGAATACAAAAGTCCAAACATACTGTGTTGTCACGGGGACAAAATCTTTCCCTTTGTGGAAGGCCAAGTGTGGGTTAATGTTTCCTGGAAGAAATTAGTTTTGCATAAAAGTAGGGGTAGTGCATGTTTTCTTCTGTTACCTCCCTATTTGTTCTGTAAGTAGGAACTCTCATTTTAATTTTGATAGCCACTTTCATCTTTGCATCTAATGCACAACTATCCTAAATATGACAGTCCCTGATCTCCCAAGGGTGAGCTGCAAGCTAACACTTTACTGTAATGTTACAATAAGTGCAATTCCTTCTCTATCTACTATTACACATAAGAAAAAAAATTAGTTAATAAAGGACACAGTATTTTATGTAGTTTCTGTTTAAAAGAAAGGCATAATTGGGTGGGCCAAATAACTTTAGGTAGAACACACTTAATTCAAATATTTTCCAAATTTCAGTCATTTGCTAGCAGATCACATATCTCTACACAATGCACAAGCATATGGCTACATACGGATACACGTATGTACAAATGAAGATCTACCCATTTTTCACTGTAACACAATTCTAAAAAGCTCATCTTTTTTATTGAACTACAACAGCAACTCTTTTACAAACTAGAATGGATGCATTGCTTAACAAGCCAAATATGATAATATATGTATACGTATACATATCTATAGTTCCCCAATTCAAATTTTAGCTATTGTTTCCATGAAGAATGTTTGGGTTGTGTTTGGTATTGGTTTCAGTAGTTAATAGTTTTCTAGTTGCACTTTAATTTTTGAATATACCTTGTCACATGTAAATTAGATACATAAATATTAAATTATAGTTTCAGAATTTTGTTAACAATGCCATGCTCCTGAGAACTATTTTGCTTTCCTAGAAAAGGAAGTTTTGAATAGCTGGTTCTTAGATTCCATCATCTCAGTACAGAATCGGTTCTGATTTTCGTTGTGGAAAGCACTTGGCTGAAATAGTCTATTTGCCCATCTTTTTTTTTTTTTTTTTTTAGTACTCCATGCCTTCTTATTAAGTGTTGCTGTTTAATTTAAACCCTCCTGGTGAGACTGAGACATGAAATATTTTTCAGTCATTGACCAAACAGTTCATAGCAGCTGATATTGCTATTTAATTTGAGTTGAAGGCACAAAATTGCATCAATTTATTTGGCTATGATGCCTTACAACAGAAAATAATTGATAGTACAGAATAAACATGACTGTATGAAGTCAACCTAAGTCCTGGGGCTACTACTAACTATGGTGACTTAAGTCAAATATAGCATCTGTTCCACTTCACTTTAGGTAACTTCCAGAAGATGACTGAGAGTATTGAAAATACTGAAGAGTTCAAACACAAGAAGGTGGTACAATGTGTTTCTTTTAAACCTTATTACAGGCTGGATCTGCAAGATATGATAACATCTGGAAAGGAAAGGGAAATGCCCAATCAATTGCCTACATGTTTGTTTGTTTGTTTTTCCAAGAGGGTTCTGGGTATTTGGAAGTATCTAGGTTGTGTAGAAAACTATGATGATGATCAACTGAATTGTTCACTTTTCATCTGAATACTTTAGAACTATTGTAGATACTGCCCCGGTGCATTCACTGCATTACAAAGTTATATGAAACCTCTGTCTTCAAATACCATTTCAGGTTTCCTTCAAGAAACTAAAGAAATGGATGGATTCTTTTTTTTTTCTAATGAAGTAAGTTGTACTGTTTAAAGAAGAAAGTTTTGCATATTTTATTAAGCTGGAAAGTTCTTTTTAGGCTGAATTAAGATTCACCTGAAGCTTTTTAATCAATATTTTAATCTTCAACCACCAGAGTTTTTTATGATGCAAATAATTAAGCTGTCTGAAAGATGTCGTTTTATTGGAAGTCTATTTGAGTAACATTTAAAAGTATTTACCTTTTACTGTTTAGCATTTCTCTTGTTTTATTATTATCAATGTTTATCTATTTTTCAATTAATTTAATACAGTTTCTAATGTGCAATGACATCTTGTCTGGAAGCCACTTTGACCTCAAACACTCAATACACCTAAAAGAGTGACATGCTGTTAACCAAGAAATAAGATGCCATGGATGACACTTCTTGACACTGATGACCAGGACGTTACAGATATGGACAGAACTCATTGACACATAGTCATCAATTACTAAATTAAATCTCATAATTGGATTTTCCCCTCATCCAATTATGCTGTCACACCATCCACCTTCCTATATCTATTGATGGACTTATAGAATATGATTCCATTTATCAGAAAGTTGGTCTGGTGTTTTTTTTTTTTTAAATCCTATGTAAGAATGATTAATCTCAGACAATAAAGTAGCATTTTCCCTTAAGAAAAACAAGAAAACCAGTTCTGGGAGGGGAAAAAAGAGTCCTTTATGACCTGATTCAAAGTATGAATATTTTACACTTTGTCCTAGGAAACAAAACAGTAAACTAGGAGATTTTTTTCTGGAGAAAGGATCTCTGTGTATGAATTTTTCCCCCAGTTGACAATATCTATTCTTCAAATTAGAAAAAAAAAATGGGAAAGGTGTGTGGTCAACATAGGCTAATTTCAATTATTGAAAACAACCAAAAAAAGAAGACAATCTTCATACAAACTATGTGGCAAGGCCAGTGAGTGCATCTACTTATGGTTCTTAGTTCTAGGGTGTCCTACATAGTAATGATTCTGGGGAACTTCTGTAGGACTGGCTACAAAAACATGACTTGTCCAAAGACATTCAAAGATTAAAATTTGAAAGAATGTATACATATGGCTAAAATTCATATGTGGAAAAAGCCCAGATTCATTTTTGAGTTATGATGCATGTAACGATTCCTTTGTTATCATGAAATTTTCTAGCTATGGGCATCACATGCAGGTTAAAAGGAAAAGCATTAAGAACTGTGTGCTTTCAACTGTAATTTTGACTACCATTGCTAGGAAAGGTCTTGGCAACAGCAGATTTGAATTAAATTTGCCATGTTTGAAAAGTTGTCTCTAAAAACTCATCTATCATGTATCTGATTCTTTAAGAAAAACGTTGACAATAAATCATAATTTAAAAACTCCAAAAACTTTGGATTCACCCCAAACTATATTCCACAGCTTTAACCAGAGCTACACTTATTTACTAATCCCACTAAAGAACAAAACCAAAAACAATCTCTAGTTTTTTGACACCATTGAGAAATAAATGCTGATGCTGCCTCTAGAAATCCAAAAATACTCCTATGGATGTTATAGGTTCTCTCTACCTGGTCTTCTGTGGCCATATTTTAAAAACTGGTTTTTGAGAATCATGAGACAGGTAATACTGAAGATAAAATCTTCTTAGAGCTAAGTAGCTGTCAATTTCTGATGATAAATTAAAATTAGTGAGGATAATCTCTGAAATTAATCCAGATACAACATCACAGCCCCACCTCTACAGGAAGGCTGGGAATAGAGTAGGGGCAGGGGAAATAGATCTCCTCTAGAAACAAGAAAAAGCTGGTTCTTGCTTTTAAGTAGCAAATATACCCTAGGGAGATGCTGGAGGTACAAAGAATTTAAATATCTCTCCTAAAATCAAAGAACTAATAAAGTTAGAGTAGAGATTTTAACCTAGGTCTTCATTACACCGAATCCAGCCCTCAAGTCATTACATTACTCAATGATTAATTATAACTGACATTTATATATGGAGACCTTACAGCAACCCTGTGATAAATGTATTACTTTGTCCAGTTTTCCAGTGGGGACACTGCAGTTCAGAGAGGCAAGGTGACTATCAAGGTAATAAAGTTAAGTCCCGATTAGTGTGAATATTAAGTCCCCATAAAGTTATGACAATATTCAAATTCACACTGAAAAATTCCATTGGGCTGGAACCAGTTATCATATTTTACATAATTATAACAGTGCAAATTGGAATACATATGACCACTTAATAGGATTATTCATTCTAACTAATTAGGACCTAGAAATAAGTGATATACATCAATAGTAGAAGTCATGTCCTCTGACTCTAATTCCAGAACTCTTTCTGTTAAATGAAACCTGCCTTAATCATCACAGGATGTTAAGGACATGGAGATAAGTATGTCTGAAAATAGGTGAGGGGGAGGAAAAGGAGTGAGAGATAATCTAACATCCAATGTGAGGAAATTCATTCATACAATCAACAATCTTATATTAAACACCTATATAAGATAAAACCCATGGGCCCTGTTTTTGTCATTAAATCAACAAATGTTTGTTGAGTTCCATACAGACATACACACATACAAACATACATACACACACACGATTCTCTTCTAACTACTAGGAATACAATCAAGTGTGACCTATAGCTGCTTCTCTCAGTGTGTTTTGATATAGTCAGGATAGCTATCAATACAAGAAAATATGCTTGTGCCCAAAAGCACAAGATATTGTCAGATGAACACTTTGCCAATTAATCAAAAGTATTTAATAAGTGCCATGTACTAGGCACTAAGCGGAGTTCTAGGGATACAAATAAAAAGTTAAGACAGTCTCAACTATCAAAAACATATTTTATTGGCAAGAAAATGATGTTCATATATAGGTATATATAAAGTATGTATGAAATAGATACTGAGTAACTTCAGAGAGGAAGTTATGCACAGCTTTTTGCAGCTGAGAAGGCTGTCTGCAGAAGGGGCTGTATAAGCTGAATCTTAAAGGAAAAGAAAGATTCTATGAGCTGAAGATGAGGAGGGAAAGCATTGAGGCAGAGTACAAAGTCAGTGAAGAGACATAGTAAAATTAATTAATTGATCATTGTGTGTAAGGAACAGCAAGCAGGCCAGCATGGGTAGATGGTAGTATGCA